GGGGGATGCGCGGCAAAAAGCACGCGCCAACGCAACGCGCACTTGACGTGCGAACGAATGTGTGCAATTCTCTGCCAGCTTACAATTCACCCTTCGTGCTTCGACATGACCAAGCGTTCCGTCGAATCTGCGCTCAAGACCACTCAACAACATTCGGAAGTTGATGCAATCGCCCAGAGCTGTTTCATGACACTCCCCTGCCTATCATTTAATCCGTACGAACGGCCACGCAACTGGGTTTTGTAGAAACAACGCGTTTTGAGAAATTCACTAAGCTGGGAGCCCCGACAGCTCTCACATCCTGAAGGCCATTCGATACAAGCAGTACTCCCTCGCATTATGACAGCTTCGGCGAAGTCGCGAACGCACCAAGACAGCTGACGAACCACGGTCCGCATTCCTCGTCTCAAACGTCGCAAAAGATTTACGCGCGCCCTGTCCATGATGTCGCGGAGGCTGCGATGGCCGGGTTGGTGCCCCCGCCCGCGGAGCTCTGGGGCTGCCGTTGCGGCTGCCGGCGCGGGCGGTGCGGGTTCGCTGGTGGCCCTGGAGGCGCGGCTCAGGGCCCCGCCTGGCGATTGCGGCGGCCTCCCAATGGCGCCGACGACCAGTGTCGACACGCTGCCAGAGGACGACTGACAGGCGGCGGTTGGTCGCATCGCTGTCGCGCCTGCCTCTCGAGCCAGTGGCGTGGGGTAGTCGCCTCCACGGCTCTGGTCCTGGACGGGGTGCCCGCCCTCTCCACGTACCTGCCCGCGGTCGTGGAGGGCGCCCTTGCGGGCCAGGCTCCTGGTCTAGCCCACCCAGGAGTGCTCCTGCGGGGCCAAGGGTCGGAGTGCTCGCGGCAGGAAGGCGCGGCTGCTACACTGAACAACCTGCAGGTGTGCATATGGCTCCAGGCTGCGCTGCACACTCCTCCTTGCAAAGCTAATGTGCTTGCGTTCCGAGGCCTGTGACCCTCCAGGCTGTCCGCAACTTCTCCGTCACTGCTGATGGCGCTGCTGCTCATGATGGGGCTCCTCCTCCTCTTCCTCCTCCTCATCCTCCTCCTCTTCTTTCTCATCCTCCATCGAGTCATCCTTCTCCGCTTCCTCCTCCTCCTCCTCCTCCTCCTCCTCCTCCTCCTCCTGCTCCTCCTCCTCCTTCTCCTCCTCCATCGAGTCCTCCTTTTCCTCCTCCATCGAGTCCCCCTTCTCCTCCTCCTCCTCCTCCTCCTCCTCCTCCTCCTCCTCCTCGTCCTCCTCCTCCTGTTCCTCCTCCTGCTCCTGCTCTTCCTCCTCCTCCTCTGCTGTTATCCTCCTCCTCCTCCTCCTCCTCCTCCTCCTCTTCCTCCTCCTTCCTCCTTCCTGCTTCTCCTCCTCCTCCCCCTCCTCCTCCTCCTCCTCATCATCATCATCATCGTCATCCATCATCATCATCATCATCATCATCATCATCATCATCATCATCATCATCATCATCATCATCATCATCATCATCATCATCATCATCATCATCATCATCATCAGCATCATCATCATCATCATCATCATCATCATCATCATCATCATCATCAGCATCAGCATCATCATCATCATCATCATCATCATCATCATCATCATCATCATCAGCATCAGCATCAGCATCATCATCATCATCATCATCATCATCATCATCATCATCATCATCATCATCGTCATCATCACCATCGTCCTCCTCTTCCTCATATTAGTATTAGTATTCGTATTGTTATGATTATTATGTTTCGTCCTCGTCCTCTTCCCCCCCTCATCCTCCTCCTCCTCCTCCTCCTCCTCATCCTCCTCCTCCTCTTACTCGTATGAGTCGTATTAACAGGTCTAATGGTACGGATGACACTACTATAATAATACGAATAACAATTAATAGTATCACCAATTATGAATCATAATTCTATTCATAATAATAATGGTGGTAATGAGAAATACTTAACCAATAAATTTAATAATAAGACATGGAATTAATATAAAGCAATCCTCAATACTATAATCATATTGATAATATCAATGGTACAACTCATAAATAATATCAGCAATAATCATTCATACCAAATTATAACCAATAATGTCAACAACATCGATAATACCAAGTATGACGTGATACTAATCCATGATATCAAATAATAATATCATGTATATTATTTAATAATAATGGTATCCATACTTTATATTCCAAATAATAATAGTACAAATAATGATCAATATTATAAAGATACTTATACACACATTTGGATAATATAGTTGGTATTCTTAGTAGTGCTAGTAGTAGTCGGATTCGTCTTGATCCTCTCATTCATATTTTCCGACGTATTAGTACGAGTAGTAGTATTAGTATGGTTGGTATTCGCCCTCGTCCTATTCGCATTATCGGTATTACTATGATTACTCGTCTTACCAATCGTCCTTCCATCATTAGTTCTAGTATCATTCGTCTTCTCCGTACTAGTGATATCACTAGTGCAAGTATTAGTACTTGTCTTAATATTCGTTTGACATTTCCTATTCGCATGCGTCTTCTTATCATTAATAATATTATTATGCTGCTTCTTCCTACTAGTCGCATTAGTAGTAGTAGTAGTAGTACCATGCGGATTCGTAGTAGTAGCGAAACTATTATTATTGGTGATAGTCGTATTTCTATGTTTCTTCGTTTTAAGTGTATTGTTATGATTCTGCTTCGTAATATTATGCCTCATCCTCCCTTCCTCCTCCGCCTCCTCCTCCTCCTCCTCCTCCTTCCCCTCCTCATCTTTCTCCTCCTCCTCCCTCCCTCCCTCCCTCCCTTCCTGCGTCCCTCCCTCCCTCCCTCCTCGTCCTCGTCCTCCTCCTCCCCCTCCTCCTCCTCATCCTCCTACTCCTGATCCTGCCCCTCCTCCTCCATTCTTTTTCCTTATATATAACTGCTCCCTGTCGCACCCCGAAGCCCATTTCTAGGGCGGGTCGGGCGTTTCGCCTGAGACCTTCTCCCTTTTAGGACCATGGGAATTCACAAAAGTGGCAACAGCTTCACAGATGGGGGCGGGTCGTGTTCAAAATTTGGTTCTCGCCTAGCGCCGCGCACGGTCGCTGTAAAAATGCGCAAAAGTTTCACGGATTGAAGGCGAGTGGTTTTCAAACTCTGGCGTTCGCTTTAGCGCCGAGCCCATTCGTCATTCACATGCGCAAGGACTTCAAAGATTGATGGCGGGTCATTTTCAAAATGTGGCTCTCGCCATAGCGCCGCGCACATTCGTTAAACAATGGTACAAGGTTCACAGATTGAGGGCGGCTCATTTTTTGAATGTGGCTCTCGCCTTAGCGCCGCGCACATTCGTTTTGAACATTTGCAAAAGATTCACGGATTGAGGGCGGGTCGTTTTCGAAATGTGGCTATCGCCTTCGCGCCGCACATATTCGACAAGAAAAAAACGATGCGCTTCACAGATTGAGACCGGGTCGTTGTCGGAATGTGGCTCTCGCCTTAGCGCCGCGCACATTCGTTATAACAAGTTGCAAGCGTTTCACGGGTTCGAATGATCAACGTACCAGAAATGATGTTTCCGAAGGGTTCAGGATCATGCGGGCGCACCAGTTATGTTGATTCGCGGTGTTGAAGTCCCCAAAAAAACGTTCTGGCACGACTTCGGATCGTCAAAACGCAGCAGTCAGGTTGATACGTGACGTTGAAATCCCGAGAACAATGTTTTGGCAAGCTTCAGGATCTTCTAACGGTTGTCTTCCAACGAGGCAGCTCCCTCAATGGAAATGAACCGTCGTAGGGGCCTATGAAGAGGGAGCTTGGAGGGAAGGTTAATTCCAACATCGTTCATGACTCTTGGGTTTACACTGGTCCTCCTCCTCCTCATCATCCTCCTTCTCCCTCGGGTGCTCCTCCTCCCTCGAATCCACCTCCTCCTCCTCCTCCTCCTCCTCCTCCTCCTCTTCCTCCTCCTCCTCATCCGCCTCTTCCTCCTGCTCCTCCTCCTCCTTCTCCCCCTCCTCCTCCTCCTCCTCCTCCTCCTCCTCCTCCTCCTCCTCCTCCTCCTCTTCCTCCTCCGAATCCTCAAACTCTTCCTCGGGTTCCTGCTCCTGCTCCTCTCCTCCTCCGAATCCTCCTCCTCCTCCTCCTCCTCCTCCTCCTCCTCCTCCTCCTCCTGCTGTTGCTCCTCCTCCTCCTCCTCCTCCTCCTCCTTCTCCTCCTCCTGCTACCTCTCCTCCTCTTGCTCCTCCTCAGAATCTGTCTCCCCCTCCTCCTCCTCGTCCTCAACCTCGTCCTCCTCCTGCTCTTCATGAACATAATCATCATCATCATCATCATCATCATCATCATCATCATCATCATCATCATCATCATCATCATCATCATCATCATCATCATCATCATCATCATCATCATCATCATCATCATCATCATCATTCATCATCATCATCATCATCATCATCATCATCATCATCATCATCATCATCATCATCATCATCATCATCATCATCATCATCATCATCATCATCATCATCATCATCTCATCATCATCATCATCATCGGCATCGTCATCGTCATCATCATCATCAGCATCATCATGAGCATCATGAGCATCATGAGCATCATCATCAGCATCAGCATCAGCATCAGCATCATCATCAGCAGCAGTATAAGCATCATCATCAGCATCATCAGCAGCATCAGCAGCATCAGCATCATCTCATCATCAGCTCGTCATCATCATCATAATCGTCATCATCAGCATCAGCATCATCATCATCAGCACATCATCAGTATCAGCATCATCATCCTCATCAGCATCAGCATCAACACCAGCACCAGCACCAGCACCAGCACCAGCATCAGCATCAGCATCATCAGCAGCAGCATCATCATCATCATCATCATCATCATCATCATCATCATCATCATCATCATCATCATCATCATCATCATCATCCCCAGTCTTGCTTCCCCCCAAACCTGAGTACGAGCGCGTCGCTCTTCCTCCCCCGCTGCTCGGCTCCTGGCGTGGGCCAGCAGCGGGCTGTCAGGGTACGGGCACACGAAGGCCGACAGGTCGGCCGCCGATGCGGGCAGCGCCAGTGCCTGCGCGAGGGGGAGCAATGGGAACGACGTTTTGCAAAGCATAGCGTGAAGGGTAGGACAGGAAAGAAAGAGAGAAAAGGTGCGGGCGACCGAACCGCCCATCACACCTGCGCCTGCAGACCGCAAGCACGCCCAGCACCATCGGCCCCTCCGAAGGGAGGGTGCGGAAGGTGCGCCAAAAGGCGGGTGAGTGACTGTGGTCAGTCGCCGCCAGGCCGCCAGAGGCTCTCCTTAGTCTGATCTGGAGCCGTCGCCGGGCACGGACTGAGGAGGAGGAGTAGGAGAAGGAGAAGGATGGAAGGATGGGCAGAAGGAGAAGGACGGAGATGAAGACGAAGAGAAAACTAACCTCTCGTTCTCTTCGCCCTGTTCTCGCCCTGATCTCGCACTTCACCCTGATCTCCTGATTCGTCCTTCTTCCTCTGTGTCCATATTCCTCATCATCTTTACTCGTCATACTTATTCGTCTTTCTATTTGCCCTTATTCATACTCGTCAGTATCTTCTTTCGCCCTTTGTCGTCCTTTCCTTCTCAGAGGGAGAGAGCAATAAAAACGATAACAAACCGCCACCCCCCGTTGTGGGGCCATCAGGCCACACACCCAGGGACCACTGAAGCTCAAGATACCGGCGCCCTGGTGTGCAGTGAGGCGGTCGCCCTCTTGCTGAGCAGCTCTCACCAGCTGCTCGGAAGCTCCGACTGTTCAATTTCTCAATCTTCGGTTCCTGAAAGCCGAGTTGCTCAATTGATCAACCACTCTCATGTTCGGCAAGTGTGCGCGCGCGACACCCTGCGGCCAAAAATGTACTTGCCACCCTCTCCTATCTGTGTTCGGATGGCCTCTGACTCGAGAAGCGTCATCGGCTTCCGCGCTGCCGGGCATGTGACCTTTCGCACAAAAAAAGACAATTGCTCCGCACGCCCGAGACCACGATGCCCTCGAAAAGTGTCCTGGCGAAGGACCCAACCTTATGCGAATGCCACTACAGCAAGGCGCAGCTGGGACGAAAGAGGGGCAGCCACCTACGGGTCCACGAAACATGTGAGGGACGTGCCGAATCGGGCGCGGGTACGCCATCCGGCTACAAAACCGTGCGAGGGTTGTGCCAGAATGGGCGTGGTGGCGCCATGCGAACCCTGTCACTGAGGCCTTCGGTGGAGCTCCTTTTGGGCCCACGAAACGTGTGAGGGTTGTGAACGAATGGGGCAGGGCAACCACGCGGACCCTGCCACTGGAGCCGTTGGTGGAGCTCCCTATGGGGCCACGAAACGTGTGAGGGGTGTGCCGAAATGGGGCGGGACGGCAGTGCGAACCCTGCCATTTGGGCCTTCGTGGAGCTCCCTGCTGGAGCAACGAAACGTGTGAGGGGCGTGCCGAATGGGGCGGGGCCGCCATGCGAACCCTGCCACTTGGGCCTTCGTGGAGCTCCCTATGGGAACACGAAACGTGTAAGGGATGTGCCGAAATGGGGCGGGGCCGCCATGCGGACCCTGCAACTGGGACCTTTGGTGGAGCTCCCTATGGGGCCACGAAACGTGTGAGGCATGTGCCGAAATGGGGCGGGGGCACAATGCGAACCCAGCCACTTGGGCCTTCGTGGAGCTCGCCATGGGGCCACGAAGCGTGAGAAGGGGGTGCCGAAGCTGATCATGATGATGATGATGATGATGATGATGATGATGCTGATGATGATGATGATGATGATGATGCTGATGCTGATGCTGGTAATGATGTTGGTGATGATGATGATGCTGATGATGGTGCCAGTGATGATAATGATGATGGGCTGATGATGATGGTGGTGGTGATGCTGATGGTGGTTTGATGGTGGTGATGGTGATGCTCAAGGTGCTGATGATGACGGTGATGATGATGCTGAGTATACTGATGCTGACGATGATGATGGTGGTGCTGACGATGGTGTTGATAATGATGCTGCTGATGATTGTGATAACCATGATAATTATGATGTTGATGCTGATGACGATGCTGATGTTGATGCTGATGCTGATGATGGAAATAAAAATGATGATGATGGTGATGATGATGATGATGATGATGATGATGATGATAATGATGCTGCTGATGATGATGGTCAAGGGAGGAGTGGAGGATGAGGAGGTGAAGGATGAGGAGGAGGAGGAGGAGGAGGAGAAAGAGGAGAAGAACCCAGGGCACTGTCGCTTCAAAACGAGGACCCAACACCACAGGACAGTTGGGAATTATTCTGGCAAAGGGCCCAACCACATGCAGTTGTGGGTACCGCATTATGAATACAACTGTTGTTGGAGCTCTCTATGTGGGGCCACGAAACGTGTGAGGGGTGTGCTGAAACGGGGCGGTAGCGCCCTGCGAACCCTGTCTACTGCAATTTTGGCGGAGCTCCCCATGGGGCCATCTGATCCCACACAGGCCGCTATGGGATCCTATACACAGCCGAGGCGGCCTGTATAGGATCCTATACAGATCCTGCACGGCCTGTAGAGGCTCCTACACAGAGCCGACACGGCCTGTAGTGGATCCTACACGGACCCGACGCGGCCTGTGGAGGACCCTATGCAGACCCAATGCGGCCTCACGGATCCTGTACAGACCTTGCACGGCCTGTATAGAATTCGATGCAGAGCCAAGACGGCCTGTGGAGGATCCCATACATATCCGAGACGGCCTGTATAGGATCCTCCTCACGGATCCGATACGGCCTGCAGAGGATCCTATACAAATCCGATACGGCCTGTAGAAAATCCAATACAGATCCGATGCGGCCTGTACCGTGTCGTCTACAGACCCGATATGGCCTGCATCGGATCCTGTACAGATCTCACACGGCCTTTGTAAGCCCTCTTGCAGAACCGGTAGTGTTCGTATCTTGTATAGGGTCCGATACAGATTCGGCACGCCCTGTATAGGATCCTATACAGATCCGAAACGGCCTGTATCGGATCCTATATAGATCTTACCCCCCTCAGCGGCTGAGCGCATGCCGGCGCAGTCCTCACGAAGATCGTGGCCCCATGGGGAGCCCCTCACGAGGATCGTGGCCCCGTGAGGAGCTCTCCCGAAGGCGCCAGCGTGCGGAACCCTGGCGATTCCTGAAGAATCCGAAAAATCTCACAGGAATCCGAATGCTTGTTGGGCGCCTGCGCACCCCCGTTCGCCCACGCCTCACCCGGCCCCGGGGGGCCTGCTCGGGGCCTCCAGCACACTCGGAATTTGCGAAAATCCCTAGGGATCCTCAGGGAGTGTTGGTCGTCGGCGCGCCACCGTGCGCCACCACCCCACCCGGCCCCGGGGGTGCCTGGTCAGGACTCCCGCCCCAATGCCAACGCCCCTGCCGGCCCCGGGGGGCGAGGTCGCGGCCGCCAACCACTTCCCCACCCTTATACCTACCAACTTCATTTTCCAAGAAGAGCAAGATCACAACAACAAATGGGGGCCAGCATGGTGGTTGCAACGAACAGCAACAACAATAACAGCAACAGCAACAACAACAACCACCACAAAAGCAGCAGCAGCAGCAACAACAACAACACCACAGGTTAAGACTGTTCCCTTATACTGGTATGCGTGTCTTGCGTTCTGCATACCCCAACAACGATACCCGCCCACTTCGTCTTTGATCGCACCTCCTTTCGGGGGGATATCTTCTTTGTCGGCCATTGACTGAAGTGCGAGGAACTCTCGAGCGAGAGCGCCGTTCCTGAGTTCGGGGGCCTCTCTGGCCACGGGCTCTCGGAATACATATGGAAAATATCGAACGAGAGCCCTTGTCGCTGTGTCTGGGCCTCCACCAACTTGCCGCAATTACGAAAAATTCTCGAGCGAAAGCACCACTCCTGAGTTCGGGGGCCTCTCTGGCAAGGGCCTCTGCGAACACATCTTGAGGAAGTATCGAACGAGAGCCCTTGTCGTCGTAGCTAGGCCTCCACCAATTTGACTGAATCGCGAGAAAGTCCCAAGCGAGAGCGCCGTTCTTGAGATCGGAAGCCTTCCTGGCCAGGGGCTCTCGGAGTAAATCGTGAAGAAGTATCGAGCAGGAGCCCTTGTCGTCGTGCCTGGGCCTCCGCCAACTTCACTAAATTGCGAGGAAGTCTCGAGCGAGAGCGCCGTTCCTGAGTTCGGGGGCCTCTCTGGCCAGGATGTGTCGGGGTAAATTGTGAGGAAGTGTCGAGCTGGAACCGTTGTCGTTGTAGCCGGGCCTCCAAAGGACACACATTCACAGTCAAGCCCGCGCTCGAGCGGGGGCCTCGTTATCAGAGAAATTGCAGCTGGCGTCGAGGCGAGAGCGCGCGGAATCGTTTCCACAGACCAACAATACTTACTCTCTCAGAATGAAAATTCAACAACCAGAAGACAGACCACTACAACAATGACAACGACAACGACTACGACTACGACAACGACAAAGACAAAGACATCGACAACGATCATCTTATGGCTATTCGCTCTATCTGCTCACATGCCAATCAATACGTGTATCCCAAGCCCTCGGAATCCGCCCTCGTCGTCCTCGATCGTAACCCTTGGGGGTATATCTTCCTCGCCTGCCACGTGCATGTAGTGCAGCCCCTAAAACAAGGGAAGAGAGGACGGCTGGAAGGGGGAGGGAGAATAATGGAGCACGAGAGAAAATTAGCAGGACGGGGGCAAGGAGCAGAAAGCAATTGGTAGAACCAGACGGGCCGATCGGGTGGGCAGGCCCATCGCGGGCAGGTCGGGAAGGCGGGCCCAGGCGACGAGGTCGAACAGGCGGGTTGCTGAAGCGTGGGTCCTGCATGAATCGCGAGGAAGTCTCGAGCGATAACGCGATTCCCAAGTAAATCGTGAGAACAGCCAAAGCGACAGTGTGATTCCTGAGCGCCGAGGGCGCATCGTCTAGACAAAATGGAAGTCCCACGCGAGATCGCGGTTCGTAGACAATTTGTGAGGAAGTCCCGCGCGAGAGAGCCATTTGGTAATACATTGTGAGGAAATATCCAGCGGGATCCGTTGTTGTTGTAAACCGGGGGCCTGGGGCACAGTTTGAGCCGAGTGCCCCTAAAAAAAAAACAAGGTGCGAGCCGCGGGGGAAACACTTTAATTGAAAGATACCATGGTCACCGGAGGGGGGACCAACCATAATTATTCACTAGCGACAGCCCGACAACAACACCAACAGCCGCAACAGCAACAATGATAACAACAACGGCAACAACACCATACACAATTCAATATACAACAACACTAGCAGCAACAACAACGACAACAACCATCATTGTAAGACTCTTCGCTCTTATCTGCCCGAATGTCCGTTAACGCGTATTTTTCAAACCCTCGATACCCGCCCTCTTCGTCTTCGATCGTACCCCACTTGGGGGGTATACCTTTCTTCCCTGCAGGCTGGGCCCTGGCAAGCGGCGGGGCGGCCGCGGACCGTCGGCCTGGCTAGCGGCAGCGCTGATCGGCGGCAACCTGACCCCAAGAGGGACGGACAAGGGACCGACCACGACGACGACGACGACGACGACGGCGACGACGACGACGGCGACGACGGCGACGACGACGACGAGCGAAACCGAAAGCGAGAGAGAGAACGACAGCAGGGCCACGAAGGGCACGAAGTAGGCCACGAAGGGCGACAGCGGGGACACGAAGGGAATGCGTATGGGACCACGAAGAGCACGAACAAGCGGGGGCCACGAAGGGCAGATAATGCGGGGCCACAGAAGGCAACGACGGGGCCACTGAGGGTAGCAGCTGGGCCACGTAGGACAGCGAGGGGGCCACGAAGGGCGACAGCGGGGCCCACGAAGGGCATACGCGTATATTGGGCCGCGGAAGGCAAGGACGGGGCCACTGAGGGCAGGGCCACGATGGGAAGCGAGGGGGCCACAAAGGGCGGCAGCGGGGCCCACGAAGGGCATGCATATGGGGCCACCACGGGTGCGAACGAGCGGAGGCCACGAAGGGCATACATGTATGGGGCCACGAAGTGCAGCGAGGGGGCAACGACGGGCTGCAACGGGGCCACGAATGGCAGCGAGGGGGCCACGAAGGGGTGCAACGGGGCCACGAAGGGCAGCGAGGGGGCCACAAAGGGCTGCAACTGGGCTACGAAGGGCAGCGAGGGGGCCACGTAGGGCAAAAAACGGGGCAACGAAGGGCAGCGAGGAAATTCAAACGCAAGGGCGCTATTCCTGAGTAAATTGCAAGCAAGTCTCCAGCGAGAGCGCGACTCCAGAGCGCCGAGAGAGCGATTCCTGAACAAGTTGTAAGGAAGTCCCACGCGAGAGCGCGATTCCTGAGTAACATGCGAAGAAGTCTCAGGCGGGAGCGGGCGCCCGGGCTAAATTGTAAGGAAATCTCAAGCGGGAGCCGTTGTTGTTGTAACCTGGGGGCCAGGGGCCCAGTTTGAGCCTCAAGACCTTCCCTGATAAAAAACAGGGTGCGAGCCCAGGGAAAGTCACTTCAATTGAAAATACAATGTGCACCGGTTGGGGGGGAATCAACAATAATGATTCTTCGGAAATGAAAGTTCAACAACAACAACAACAACAACAACAACAACAACAACAACACCAACAACAACAACAATACCAACACCAACACCATCAACAACAACAACAGCAGCAGCAACAACAACAGCAACAAAACCAATCCTCTGATTCTTCATCATCAGCAGCATCATCATAAGGCTGTTCGCTCCGATCTGTTCGCGCTCCATTCTACACGTATATCCCGAACCATTGCTACCCGCCCTTTTTTGTCTTCGATCGCACCCCCCTTGGGTGTACAGCTTCCCTACACGCCGAGTGTAGTTGGGGCAGCCCCTAAAGCAAGGGAAGAGAGGACGGATGGTAGGGGAAGGGAGGGAGAAGGATAGAGCAGGGGATTAGCAGGAGGGGGGCTATCAGCAGAAAACACGTGGCAGAACCAGGCGTGCAGATCGGGCGGGTAGACCCTGACGGGCGGGTCGGGAAGGCGGGCCCAGGCGGCCAGGTCGAGCAAGCGGGTTGCTGAAGCATGCGTACCGCATGAATCGCGAGGAAGTCTCGAGCGATAGCGCGATTCCCAAGCAAGTCGTGAGTAAATCCACAGCGAGAGCGTGATTCCTGAGTGTCGAGGGCGCGGCGTCTGAATCAATTGTGAGGAAGTCCCACGCGAGAGCGCGATTCCTTCATACATTATGAGGAAGTCCCGCGCGAGAGCGCGATTGTTCAATACATTGCGAAGTACCAGGCGGGAACTGCTGTTCCAACCCAAGGGCCAACAACACAATTGGGTGACCCCACACTCTCCATTGTAAAAAGCCGGGTGCGAGCCCAGGGAGGAGCACATCAGCCAGCGTTGGCTCCAAATAGATAGGATGACAGGAGGAGGACGAGAGAAGGATGGGAGGAGGACGGGAGCAGGACGGGAGGAGAACGAGAGGAGCAAATCAAGCAAGCGCAAGCAAGCAAGCGGAAGCAAGCAAGCGCAAACGAGCAAAAACAAGCAAACGAAAACCAGCGATCGAGTGCAAGCAAGCAAGGGTAAGCAAGAGCAAGCGAGCGAGAGCAAGCACGCAAGAGCAAGCAAGCAAGTGCCGTTGGAAAAAAGGGGGCATTGGAAAAAGGGGGGCATTGGAAAAAGGGGGGGCTAAAGACCAATTACTTATGATGAGTTAGGATCCCTATACGGCAAGCCTATTTGGAGAACTTTGCGTGGAAAACCACACTGGTCACTGGGCAGAGGGGATCAACAACAATTATTGTTTAGCAATGACAGCTCAACAAACATCTTCCTCATCATCCTCATCCTCATCCTCGTCCTTCTCCCTTCTTCCCTCACTCCCTCCCTCCATCCTCCCGCTCCCCCCTGGTGGAAGAGAAGCGGCGGCGGCGCTGGGGCCTGCACGAGCGCCTGCAAGGGCGAGACCTCCTCGCGGCCGCCGAGCACCACGACTTTCTTCCTGGAGATCGTCCAGGGGTCCTGCGGCCAGCGGGGGATGCGGGGACAAGCTCCTCCGCCCTTCGTTCTCTCCTCCGCCATCCTCTCCCTCCTCTCCCTCCTCTTCCCCCTCCCTCCCCCCACCCCCGCCCTCCCCATCACCAGCCACCCTCATCACCCGTCGCATGCGCCTCATCCTCCTCATACCCCCCTCCCCGCTCCTCAACATCCCAACGTTGGCACGAAGGCGACAATGATGGAGGTCCATTGGGGCATGGGACTAGAGCAGTGGTCTGTGAGGATTAGGCGGTTATACGATGGTTAGTGGCCATTGAAGGTTAGAGGGGGCGGGGCGGGGCGGGTGGGGAGCAGGAGGACGCCGCTCATGCGCTTCCATCTCCTTTTCCTCGGGAACGGGGGTTGCGGAGTCACCCTGTGTTCCAGAGCGCGCGCGCGAGGCTTTGACACTGAGTTTGCGCTGAGGTGTTGGATGCGGTTGTGGCGGTGCGCGCATGCTATGCGTGCCTTTTTCGCGTGCTCCTCCTCGGCCTCCTCGTCCTTTACTGCATCTGCCCTGCTCCTCGAAGGAGCAGAGTCCCCCACTCTTTATGCTGTGTTCCCCCCCCCCAGAGGGGGGTAACAGAAACAACAAAACCACAACGAGGCGACCCGTTGCTTACCATACAAAACCCAACCATTAACAACAACAAGAAACGAGGCAAGCGGCGCTGTGTCTGCTACTCCGCCTCATCCTATCCCTCCAACTAGGCCCTCTAGAGCACCCCAGGGTTTCGAGAACGCCGCTTGACGTTCGAACACACTGTGATGTCCTGCCATGTCCTCGAACACTCACGCCTTCCATGTCCCCCCTCCCCCCGAGCTCTTTGAAACCTTCTGCAACATTATGAACATGTCTAGCCCCCCCCCCCTCTAACCCACCACCTTCTGACCGAGCACCACATGGCCCTGCGAACCACTCTAGAACCTGATGGACATTCGCCACTGTGGTTTCGAATAATGTAAACACCCCAGAGCTTAGTAGGGCCTAGTCACGCGTTGACAGGGCTTGGCTTTGTGTTGCATTGCAGTGCCTGGCGTTGCGTGTAACTGCATGGCATTGCTTGGCATTGCGTTGCCTTACCTGGCAGTTCGCTGCATGGGTTGGCGTTGCTTGGCATCGCGTTGTATGACTGGCCATGATTGTGCAGTGCGTGGCATTGCTGTGCGTGAGCTGACATTGCGTTGCATTACTTGGCACTGCGTGACGTTGCGCTATCGTACGTGGCATTGCTGTGCAGTTCGTGGCAGTGGCTGGTATTGTTGACATATAAATGGCTTGCGCGGCGCTGCTCTGCATGACTTAACGCTGCCTGGCGGTGCGTGGCCGTGCGTGCCGTTGCGTCGGTGTGCCTGGCACGTGGTGGTATGCGTTGTCTTTCCCGACATTGCTTGGCAGTTCTTGGCAGTGGTTAGCATTGCTTGACAATTCTTGGCATTGCGTGGCGGTGCCGGGCTGGCGCTGCGTGGCATTCATGTGCACTGCTTGGCAGTTCTTGGCATTACATTGCATTGCGTAACAATGCTGGATATTGTATGGCGATGCTTGGTATGTATTGCTTGGCACTGCTTAGCATTGAGCTGCGTTGCTTGGAAATGCTGGGCATCGCTTGGCGTTGCTCGGTGTTGCGTGGCGTGGCGTGGCGTGGCGCTGTGTGGCGCTGCTGCGCTGATGTTCGTTTAGCTTGGCATTGCGTGGCATTGCTTAGCATTGGCTTGCATTGCAGGGCATTGCATGGCGCTGGGTGGCATTGCTTGGCGGTGCTTGCGATTGCTATACGGTTTTCGGTTGGCTTGACAGTGGTGAGCGTTGCTTGGCAGTGCGTTGCACGACGGGGGGGAGAGGAGCAATATCGGGGAGCTCTAAAAAAGAATGCAAAGAGCAGGACGGGTAATCCGAGGAAGGGCCAGGGCACCCACGGAACCAACCAGAGGAACCCGAGCAAGACAGAAACCAAGACCAAGGAACCAAACGGGGCCGATACCCGGCTCTGAATCAGGTTGTCGCACATCCCCCCGCGTTTTTACAACAACATTAGCCAGCATGGACCCCAAACAGTGATTGCTTGCATAGTTGCGGTGCGGCCTAAGTGGCTTACTTAATGGGGCAACACCTGTGTCACACAGGGCAACGCAAAGCAAGGCCGTGCACAGAAAGGCTAAGCAACGCAAACCAATGCCGAGCACTACAACGCGATGCCAAGCAATTCTGCATAGCAATGCAAAGGAATGCAAGCCAACACAAACAACTGCTAAACAATGCAACGCAATGTAACGCAACGGAACCCAACGCAATGCAATGCAAAGCAATGCACAGCAGCGCAAAGCGATGCAAAACCACGCGACGCAACGCACAGCCATGCAAATCAATTATCAGCATCGCAAGCAACGCAAAGCGACGCAACGGAATGCAACTGAAAGCGAATTAACGTTGCGCAGTGCAAAGCAATTTAGAAACCAGTTCGAAGAAATGCGATTGCAATGCGATTGTAATGCAATCCAATGCGTTTGTGGCACAGTGCGATTGCAACGCAATGCGATTGCGATACACTGCGAGTGCAACGCAATGCGACTGCAATGCAACGGGTGGGAGGTGAAACGGAGCGGCGGTGACGGGTGGCAGCGGGGGCGCGCAGCAATGTAAAGCAACGAGAATCACTAGCAGCTTTGAAGGAGCTGGCAGAGGAATAGCATAGCTTCAGGAGGTGAAGGAACAAAGAGAGAGAGAGAGAGGGAGAGGGATAACGATTACGAGAAGAGAAGGAAGTGACACATCCCTCTGGAACACAGGGTACCTCCACAATGCCCCAGCCTCTGTTTCTCCTCATCATACTCGTACTCCTCACCCTACTCACCCTATGTCTCCTCCTCCCGCATCCCCCTTCTTGTCCTTGTCCGTCTCTGTATATATCGCCTCCTAGTCATCCTCATCATCCCTCGCCTCTGATTTGAGACTACGATGTTTACTCGTCCATGGAGCAAATGACAATGCAACCGGGTCAACATTCCGCGAAGGGCGCCACCCACCCCGCAGGAGATTGACGGTGGTGCGAGCGACGCGCTTGAGGATCCAGTGAGGGCGTTGGCAAGTTGGCAATGCCATTGGAACCCCCCGCTCAAGGCCGACAGTCTGTGATGACGACTTCTCGTCCGATCATGCTCTCCCAGAGTATACCTGGGGCGGAGAACGGTGTTCGAGAAGACGCTCTCAAGGATGTACGGTGGTTCTGCAGAGATTGGGCTCGGGCGGTAGAACCAGTGCTGGCTGCGAGCCATCGTCAACAACAGCGCGCAAAAACCCAAACGACTCGTTAAAGGTGGTTCGGAACAAAAAAAATTAGACATCCACGCGGAACCGCTGCGGCACTGCGTCAAGAGGCGTCCTCCCGTCTGACCCGATACCCTGTGTCAGCATGTACGAGTTCATCCTTTTCAGGTCTTCCTCCCAATGCTCATTAGCTGTAGTGTGTTCCACCAGGTCCGCATGCGACGCTGCTGTGCTAAATGCAGGGGTATAGAAGTCAACCACCTGTGAGCACGCTCCAGGTCGAGCGTTTAGCAATTCGCCGAGAGTTGTTTCAATGATTCCGAAAACAGAAGAGTGTGCCGCGGCCTCATTTATGACAGCGGTTCCCTCCTGATCGAAATTTGAACATGCGCCTCGTCAGGTCGATCGTTCATAGCTTCTCTCTATGAAGGCCTGCTGGGGTAGTGGCCAAGCCAGGAGAACTCCCAAGACACGGTTAGACCATGTTCTCTACGTTGTTGGGAGGACCGTGGGCTGTCAGGGGTCATAGGACCATACATCATGAGCTCGAGAGACGGCGGCTTCCACTGTCCAATATTCCTGTTTCCCTCCATGCCTCGTTCCCGCCCCGCTATGCGTCAAAGCGTTCAGAACGCTCAGCTACGGGAAGCCGAAGGTAGCAGCTGATGCCTGAAACCTCGTGCCTTCAAGGTGGCACCAAGTATGAACACCTCAGCCCTGGAGGGCGGGCACACGCCAGGACGCATCCAGAGCATCGCCCCATGGATTACCACGAGAATGCGCTGGGGGTGTCGACGGTGCCCACTGGGGAGGAACCATTGAAGGCCGAGAGCATGAATGATGCCGTGGTTGGGACCACTGTTACCACACACCCAGCTGCTCGGCCCACGTAGGTCCAGACAGCTCGTTCGACCGGGCACCGATCTGGGCCCTGCGACAAAGTATCCGAGAGATGGTAGTGAAAGCGGTTCCAGAGGCAAAAGACACGCTGAAGAGGCAAGGCACTCCAAACTTGCCGACGCTCAGAAGTGGCAGGGTCTCTATCCCAGAACTCTGGCATATACACAACTTCGAGACGATCCCTTCCCTCGGCTGGTATCCAACCGAGCGCTGCGCACCCGAAGGGGCGTCAGCTGGGTCTGCGCCCCTGTGGTGATCGCGCCCAGCGGCGGCTCGTCTCTGCTGGAGATAACTCCCACGCAGATACCTATAGCTTGGTCGGCGCATCTCTCTGACATCGGAAGCATCCCCGAGCTACAACGTAATGGGAGTATCCCCGATCCTCCTTCTCGCTTTCCCCTGTTTCCCCGTGATCATCATCCCCCTCCTCCTCGATGCGTCTCCTCCTTCTCGTCCTCCTCCTCATTATCCTCTTTCTCCTGAGATTATCAAGTATCAATGGCCCTGCAGAGAAGAGAGCAAGTCAGGGAACGGCAGTGATTTCCCGAGCTCGGGCAGCATCCACGACCCTCCTCGATCCTCCTCCTCCTCCTCCTCCTCCTCCTCCGCCTCCTCCTCCTCTTCCTCCTCCCCCTCCTCGCTGTTCGTTCCTTTCCCTCGATCCTCCTCCTCGGTACTCCTCAACGATCCTCCTCCTCCTCCTACTCCTCCTCCTCGATCCTCCTCCTCATCCTCCTCCTCGATCCTCCTCCACCTCCTCCTCATCATCCCTCCCTCCCTCCCTCCCTCCCTCCCTACCTCCCTCCCCCCATTTCTCCCTCCATCTCCTCCCTCATCCTCCTCACCTTTCCTCCCCCATCGATAGACCTCTTCCCTCCCCAAGGATCACCAAGTGCCCGCAGCAAAGAGGGCACCCCAAAGAACGACAGACGCTCAAAAGCGGTATGGCCTCTATCATACTAGTCCAAGACCCTGACATGCACACAGACTTTCAGACGATTCCTCCCTCTCCCTCGATCCTCCTTCTCCTGGCCAGTGCAAATATCACCCAGGGTCCTGCAGAGAGGAGAGCACCTCTGGGAACGGCAGCGACGCACCGAGCTCGGGCAGCATCAGCCACGCCAAGTCCGCACCCTCGACCTCCAGCATGGGGAAGACAGGTTGGGAAGAGGAGGAAGAGGAGGAGGGGGAGGAGGAGGAGGAGAAGGAGGAGGAGGAGAAGGAGGAGGAGGAGGAGGGGGAGGAGAAGGAGGAGGAGGCGGAAGAGGTGGGGGAGGAGGAGGAGGAGGAGGCGGAGGAGGAGCGAGGAGCGAAAAAGAGACAATATAGGACACGTCTGCAGCGCAACCCAGCCAAGGACAGAACTCGATGGCGAATCTGCCCGGGCGGCCTGCAGCCTACTAGTACAAAACACGGCGCGAACACAAAAACAACATAACAGGTGGACCTCCTCCTCCTCCTCCTCCTCTTCCCTCCTCCTCCTCCTCCTCCTACTTATCCTCCTCCTCCTCCTCCTCCTCCCCCTCCTCCTCTTCCTCCTCGTCCTCCTCCTCCTCCTCCTCCTCTTCCTGCTCCTCCTCCTCCTCCTCCTCCTCTTCGCCCTCCTCCTCCTCCCCCTCCCGGGCAATCTGGGCAATCTGGACATGTCTGAGGCCGAACCGTGTTCAACTTCAAACAAAAAGAAAAAGGTTTAGAGACCCCCCCCCCCCTCCTCGGGGCGTCCTGCTGGAACTTGGCCGCCAGATCGCCGAGCGGGGTCCTGTCCAGTGGCAGGGCTGGGCCGATCCTGCACGAGGTCTGCGGCAAGAACCCGCGGAGGAGGGCCCGAAGTTCCTTGGACTTCGGGTTGGGATGGCACGGCTTGGACAATGCGAGGGCCCCTCCCCCTCCTCCTCCTCCTCCTCCCCCTCCTCCTCCTCCCTCCTCCCTCCTCCTATCCTCCTCCTCCTCCTCCTCCTCCTCCTCCTCCTCCTCCTCCTCCTCCTCCTCCTCGATCCTCCACCTCCTCCTCCTCCTCCTTTTCCGCCTCCGCCTCCTCCTCCTCCTCTTCCTCCTCCTCCTCTTCCTCCTCCTCCTCCCTTCTCTCCTCCTCTTCCCTCCTCCACCTCCTCCCTCGCTAAAGGCGCGGGGGGGATCACCTCGACAGGACACACACACACACACACACGCACACACGCACACACACACACACACACACACACACACACACACACACTGAGTGTCACACTCTGCGTGCGGCGGAGGCGAGGAGGAAGGGGAGGGAGAGGGCGAAGAGGTGGCGCGGGAAGGGGGGGGCATACATAGTGACGGGAAACTGGGGGGGGGAGAGGGAAGACGGATTGAGGGGGAGGAGGACGGGACGAGGGGGGGGAAGGGAGGAGGCAAAAGGGAGGAGGAGGGGAATGGAGATCTGTTAATATAAGATATGAGCAGAAAAGAAAGAAACTACGACCGTACACACATATATATATATATATACATGTGTGGAGTATCTGATAAGGTACGATCATGCACGCTATGATAATTCGATAGACTAGTGTGTACGATAAGATAAGGCAATATAATGTCACATTTGATATGGTATGATCAATTACTGTGTCATATTATATGGCGCGGTGAGACAAGACACAATGATATGCGATACGGTGCTATAGGATGATGTGGCATTGTACGGCATACTGCAAGACAATGCAAGACAATACACGATGTGATACCATAAAGTAGTGCAACGTTTGGTACATGTAAGCCATATACAACCGGGTGGTATAATATTATATCATATATGAAGGGGAGATAAGACCAACATGACAATATAATAAACGATCCGGTAAATTCCGGCTCAGACAGCGCCTCGGAAGAGGTCGCTAGACGGTCTCGCCAAACCCTGGCAGGGATAAATGAATTATGCCTTCGAGCTTCTGGCCCGCTTCTCCTGCACTCCCTGGAGGCGGGTGTCCATTCTCTGCAAATACCGCGGGGCTTCCTTGCCGTGCGAACAGCTCCGGAGAGGGGAGCTTTTAGGGGGGGCAAAAGGGAAGGTGAATGGGAGGGGGGGGTGAAAGGGGAGGGCAAGCTCGCTGTGACCAGCGGTCCCTCGAAGGCGAGCGCCCTGCCTGACTGAAGGGGGGCAGGAGGGGGGGGAAGAGTGAGGGTGGGGGGGTGGGGGAGGGCGAAAAGGGGAGGGCAAGCGAAACCCGCTTGGACCAGCGGGCCCTCGGAGACGAGCGCCCTGCCATTACGGCGAGGGCTCCGTCCCGAGAAGGAGTGGCTCTCCCCGTCGTAGAGACTATCGGGGGGATGCATGGATACAGGGTTGTGCAATTCGAGGAGCAGTCAAGCGAGAATACCATGTTGTAAGGTACCCCTCTTTGAGCATAGTAACTGCTACACGTCTTGGTTCTATAATGACAACAACAGCAATCGTTTCAGGACTGTTTGATTGTCCGACTGTCATTCAACATACATGCCCCGATCGCTGGACTCCCGTCCTCTTCGTTGATTAGTCTACCGCCGTTGGGGGGGGGGCTTCTTTTTGTGATGCCAGCTCCTGGGTAAACCCGACAGGGAAGGCAAACGGGTCGGGCTGGCGGGGATCCTAACCAGCAGGTCTGACGGGTCGGGCGGGCAGGACATTAAGGCGGGCGGCGATCAAGATATCGTCCCGGCGTCTCCTATCGGGCGGGTCTGGTGGGCGGATGCTAACGGGCGAGCGGGGCGGGAAGGACATTGAAGCGCGATTCCTTCCTGGGCGAATCTTGAGCAGGTATGGGGCGAGAGCGCGATTCCCAAGTAGTGTGTGGCGCGAAAGTGATTCCTTCCTGGGCGAGAGTGACTCGATTCTGTACTAAATCGCGAGGAAACACCTTGCGAGAGTGCGATGCCTGAGCAGCGAGAGCGCGATTCCTGAACACAATGCGAAAAAGTATCAGACGGGAGCCGTTGGTTTCTCATGATAGATGTAAATATTGTTGATCACCCCAATGCCATTGTAATGTACAATTGAAGCAACCCTCCTGGGCCTCACACCCTGATTTTTTAAGGAAAGTGCCTTGAACCTCGGACTGAATGTTTGGCTCCCGAACTACAACGACAAAAACAATATTTCTAAGCCTTTTCGCTCGTACGTTGTTCAGCACGTAAATCCCACACCCTCGATACCCGCCCTCTTCGCCTTCGATGGTTCCCCCTTGGGGGGTAGATCTTCCTTACCTGCTACGTGTATTCGGCGCAGTCCCTAAAACATACGAAGAGAAGACAGATGGAAGGAAGTGACAAGGGAGAGGGAAAAGGATGGAGCACGAGAGAGATTAGCATGAGAGGGGCTAGGACCAAAAAACACGTGGCAAAACCAAACGGGCAGATCGGCTGGGTAGACTCTAAAGGGCGGTCCGGGAAGGCGGGCCCAGGCGGCCAGGTCGAGCAGGCGGGCTGCTGAAGCGTGAGTCCTTCATGAATCGCGAGAAAGTCCCAGATAGCGCGATTTCCAAGTAAATCGTGGGCGAGGCCAGAGCGAGAGCGTGATTCCTGAGTGTCGAGTGCGCGGCGTCTGAATAATTTGTAAGGAAATCTCACGCGAGAGCACGATTCCTGCGTAAAGTGTGAAGCAAACTGGCGCGATATCGCGATTTGGATAACGTGTAAAGACTTATCAGGCGGGAGCCGCTGTTGTTGTAAACTGGGGGAGAGGGTCTGAGCCTCATGACTTCCCCTTGCTAAAAACAGGGTGCGAGCTCCGGGAGGAGCACCGAATTGGAAAAACACCACGGGTAATGAGGAGAGGAGATCAACAATGACTGTTCTCTAGAAGTGGGAATTCAACAACGATCCCGCCGAATACTTCCTCACGTTTTATTCAACATCGCACTCTCACTCGGGACGTCCCCACAATGTATCCAGACATCGGACTCTCGCGTGGGTCTCCGCATCTTTATCAGACGCTGCGCTCTCAAAACTCAAGAATCACGCTCTCGCGCTGGACTCCCTCACGATCTACATGGGGACCGCGCTGTCGCTCGAGACTTCCTCGCGATCCACGCTGGACTGACACCTCAGCGACCCACCCGCTCGAACCGGCCGACTGGGTCCGCCCGCCCGGTCCGCCCGTGAGGGTCCGCCCGCCCGACCCGCCCATGTAGTTCGCCGCTTGCATTCCTGCTCCCGACCCCCACTCCTGCTCATCTCCCTCGTGCTCCATCCTTTTCCCTCCTCCTTGCCCCCTCGCTGCTCCCTCAGTTTCCCTGTTGCGAGGGCTGCACCAACTACATGTGGCAGGTGAGAAAGATGTACCCCAAGGGGGGCACGATTGAAGACGAAGAGGAGTATCGAGGGCTTGGGATATACATGTTGAACGAAACGCGAGCATATGCAAAAAAACAACCTTGAAATAATTGGTGATGTCATTGTAGCCGGGGGCCAAACATCACAGTTTGAGGCTCAAGATTTTCCCTTGCAAAGAACAGGGTGCTTCTGGGCTGAGGTGGTATAGCTGCTCCTCCAAACCCCGTTTTCCCCTTTCCCCATAATTCCTCCCCCTGGGCATGGACAGGCGCGCGTCCGATGGCTTAGAGCGCCCAAGATGGTCCAAGCTGGCTCCAACATGGCACTACATAGCCTAAGGTAGCCTCCAAGATTGCACAATATGGTCCAAAATGCCTCATGACGGCCTCCAGACTGCTTCTAAGAGGCCCCAAGACCCCCACAAGACGGCTCCGAGTGGCCTCGAGGCCTCCCTTGGACGCCCCTAAGAGACCAGAATCCCAACACCGTGGGGAATCAATGATATGTGCATTCTCGCTGCTTCGTTTCCAACTAGCTTCCGAGGCCACGATTTGGCTCCAATATGGTCAAAGAGGGCCCCAAGGGGAACCCAAGAGGAACCCAAAATGGCCCCAAGAGCGCCCCAAGAGCGCCCCAAGAGGCGATCTTTCGGGCCCCATGGTGGGAGAGCCAAACTGGGACCCCCTTCACCAGGAACATTGGAAGCACATGATATGGTCAAACGGTTTGGGCCTCTTAGAGGATATCGTTAGGAATCCGATGTCCCAAGAGTTCTCCGAGGTGGCCAAAGATAGTCCAGAATGACCTCCAGTGCGGCGCACGGCAGTCCAAGGTGACTCAAGCTGACCTCTAAAGGCCAGCGC